TAAGGTGTAGCTTCTGCTGCCCTTCCCTGTGTGTGGGAGCCTGCAGATTCCCTGCAGGTTGGTCACTGAGATCTTTCTCTCTTATGAACACGAACAGTCAAGATGAGACGGCATTATTTTCTATACTGCTGAGTAAGGGACAATTCCCAGCACGCGCCACAAATATGTTATTTGATAGTTTACGTGAGTGAAGAGTTGCTGAATCCCACCAGCAGCCTCCCTGAACTGAAGCTGGACTTGTCCCTAGACTCAGGGGAAAGCCCTCGGACCACCTGGGACCGACACACTGACCAGGGGAAGGAACGAGGTGGTGCAGACCTCCCAGCCCAGCAGGACGGGCTGTGGAGGGACTGTCGTACCCCTGCGCGGGGGATCAGGCTGACTCCTGGTCAGTGCTGGTGGGGCGCAGACTCACACTGAAGCAACCCGTCTTCTCAGCTCCCATCTGGGCAGGCACGACCAGCTCAGAGCCACCCCAGCAGCTGCCGCTCATCAAGCCCTGGGTGCTGGCTACGTGATGGAGTGTCGAGGCCCATGCGCCCCAAATCCCACAGCCTGAGGCCATCTGACCCTGAATCACGTCTTCCCAGCATCCCCTCAGCATGGGCCGCTGTACAGTGAGCAGCCCCAGGCTGACCCGGGCAGTGCCTGCTCTGCTGACCCCTCATGACCGGCCAGGCTTGGTTCTGGGTCAGCTCTGGGGGGCTGGATCCAACTGCCCTGTTCAAGATGTCACCTGCCCAGGGCTCCTTCCAGGACCCGCTCCCCCTGCTTCTCTCCCTGACACCACTGCCGTCTCACAGCTCACATGATTCACTCACAGATGATAACCATGACTCAATCCCACACCTCCTCCAGAACTCAGACCCCACAGGGGAGGGGTCTGTTCACTCACAGTCCCAGCACTCACAACTGGGGTGGGCACAGGGCTGGGTGTGGCAGGCTGAACTGTCCCCCAGAATGTACATGTTACCACGCTAACCCCCAGTGGGACTGTGTTTGGAGGTGGGCCTTGATGGAGGTGATTAAAATTCAATGAGATCACAAGAGGGTGCCCTGATCCAGTAGGACCAGGGTCCTGCTAAGAATAGGATGAGAGCTCAGGGTGGGGAGGGGGGTATTTACAGAGGAGATCACGTGAGGACACAGGCAGGGGCGGCCTCTTTACCCGGAAGAGATACCTCACTAGGAACCACCTGCCAGTACCTGATCTCGGGCTCTTGGTTCCAGGCTGTGAGAAACCACGCTTCTGTTGTTCAGATCCCAGTCAGTCTGGGTGCTCTGGTCGGCGGTGCTCTGTGGTTGGTGATATTTTCTGATCCATGGTGCTCTGAGGTCCGTGGTGTTCTGCAGTCGGTGGTGCTCTGTGGTTGGTGGTGCTTTGTGGTCGGTGGTGCT